GAAGGAAGGAGCTATTCGAGGATCGGTAAGTGTTCTTGCCCAAACATGCGTAGCTGTGTCTTACATTAAATCTGCCCGTGTGGCTGGGCCACAATTAAAAATCTTTGTTTGCCCTCACCCGACCCAGCTGAAAAGTTTGTTAGGTAGGTAGGCTTCTTTTTTAGGCGGGTCTTTTTACAAAAATCAGCATGGTGTCTACAGCTAGGGTGTGCTTGTGTGGAGATACCTTTATGTTGAGTTTTGTTTTGCTTGGGTACATATAATCAGGAGTAGATGAAGAGGAGTATGACTGGCTAAGAACAAGAGAAATTCAACATATTTATACTCGTATTCTACCTATGATTGATTTAGTGAAATCCAATAAAAATTACATCATCACTAGCGCTGAACATCCAAAATCTCATCACACTTTACTGTGTATCGATACCTCTTCTTATTATGTAGTTATAGCTTCGAATGTCATACGTGGTTTCAGTCATAAATACCACTAAGCGACTATCGTTTACAGCCGATATAAAACAATAGCCAGCTTGCTCTCGTTGGCGGGGTTCGCCGGGGATTTGCAACTCGCAAGCAGCTCCGAACTGGATCTAACCCGCGGCACGGCTGGTATGGTACATATACAAAGGCGCCGGGCTACGAGCTACATAGACTGGTCCCGGTCGACATTTCAACACGCTACACTAACGTCAGTGTAGGGAAGGATAGACGCATGCCGGAGTGAAGGTGGCGAACGAGTACCAGTCTACGAGCTACAGTACTGAGTTGCAAATCCCCGGCGAACCCCGCCAACGAGAGCAAGCTGGCTATTGTTTTATATCGGCTGTAAACGATAGTCGCTTAGTGGTATTTATGACTGAAACCACGTCTGACGTTCGAAGCTATAACTACATAATAAGAAGAGGTATCGATACACAGTAAAGTGTGATGAGATTTTGGATGTTCAGCGCTAGTGATGATGTAATTTTTATTGGATTTCACTAAATCAATCATAGGTAAATACGAGTATAAATATGTTGAATTTCTCTTGTTCTTAGCCAGTCATACTCCTCTTCATCTACTCCTGATATAATGTATTGCCTACAGATTTATATAATGCACAGTGATACAATTTGTAAAAAAAAAAGAATGGGAAAAATCAATGAAATTTTTTGAGTCGGCTCCTTTTTGGCGGGTCGGTCGGGTGAGGGCAAACAAGCAATATTTTTATTATGGCCCTGGCTTTGGAAAATCAAGCGTGTGTGCATCTGAACACGGGAGCAGATATTATGAAGGCGTGCATTAGGGGTGTGACGATTCACCGATACATTTGGTGAATCACGATCCAGCGCACCACGATACGATGATCGATACACAGCGTCTGCATCGCGATACAAACGATACAGATGTTAAACATTGAATAAGGCAAGCTAAACTATTTAATAAAGCACATGTAATTACTTTTAAATTGAATTTCGCTCTTTTACTTTATGAACTCTTTCTCAGTATCACAAAAATATCCTCGGCTGTCGTAGAAATCTGGGTAAATATACGTGGTGCGCTTGTATTGCTGTCAAGATTGTTACCGCGAAACAAAGAGTGCTGATTGACTGGTGAGTGTCGTTACTGTGCACGTACTGTAGCACTGTGTATGGCGCGCATGTGAGTGGAGCTGTCAATTACAGGTCAGTCTAGAACACACTAAGAACGTCTCGGTGTGTTTCAGCCATAGAAATATATATATATCAGGGATGAGAATTGTCCGCCGATCGGAGGAATTCTGCCGATTTGACAGCCGCGTGAATCGTGCAAATCCGGTGGGGAAAAAAAGAAAAAGAAAAAAGGGGAATATTTTTTTTCCCCTGGGGTTGATGACTATTTCTGTTTCAAATGGCTATTCCAATCAATCCAATATAATATCATTAATATTTGTTTTGACTTCAGCACCAACCAATTCTGCCAGTTGTATGTTTCATTTGTTAAACTGCTAGACAGGTAAACATTAGTGTACTGCCTGTGAACTTTTAACATGGTTTGAGTAAATTTTTACATCGCATGACAATTTTATATTTTTATTATTCATGCTTGAAAGAAATGTTATACTTGTTTTCTACCAGTTTAATGTATATTGTTAGCCATTATGTACAGTTGCTAGATTATGGCCCTGTCACACATTGACGATTTAGCCAGCGTATGCCGGACGTATCAAAAATTTGGTGTGAATACAGCTGGCTACGTCGAATAAGTTATGGGTAAGCTTTGTATAAGTTAAGAGCACGCTGAAGCACGCTGAAGCACGCTGGTATACGTCGTAGTACGGCGAGGTTGTCTAAAAATTTGAGCATGCTCAAAATTTTCCGACGTATGCCAGCGTATGCCCATACGTCCCGCATACGTGGGCCATAATTGTAGGTAAGTTATGAGATCTTGACACACGTTCACACACGTTACTTGTAAGTTTACTATAAGTCGAAATACGAATAGAAATAATGTCTAGCGTACCCAAAACTTATTTCTAACTTATGAGTAACGTGCTTTGAACCTATGTGTAACTTATCTCCAACGCATATTGACGTATGTAGACGTATTTGACGTGTTCCGGACGACCCAGAACTTACTGAACGTGTTTCTAACGTACAGCTACCGTATATGGCGTATTGCCAGCGTTTAAGGAATTGCGTATATAAAAATAGTATTGGCATGTTGATACTGCGACGGTGATGTTGATACTGTGATGTAGTGCGGTTATGATTTGAACGTCGAGCGGCAGCCTTTTTATAAGCTACGACACGTGATCGTCGGCGATACGCTGCCGCGCGCTATGCACAAGTTAGACTATCGTTGGGCATAAGCTGTGAACGCCGGCAACACGCTAAGCATTCGTTGGTATAAGTTATCTTATAAGTTATCGAAACGTTCTATATACGTTACTAATACGTTAAGTATACGTCCAACTCGTTATGAATACGCTATGTATACGCCCAAAATTGAAAAAAAACATCGATAGTTCAGCGTATGCCAGCGTTTTAGAGAATTTTGATACGTCGGCATACGAGGTCTAAATCGTCAATGTGTGACAGGGCCATTAGCAACAAAAAGGTCATGGGAAGCCTCAAATCTGTTGTTAAAATAATATTATATGGCTTTTGCAAATACCTAAATTGTGCTAGTATGTATCTCCACATGGCCTAAAGATCCGTTACAGAGTCCATTTTTCTCAAAAAAATTCTGGGGATCCCTTGGGGAGGGGGCACCCCTCCCGCACCTCCCACCTTGGCGCTATGCCGCCTCGTACTTGTCCTTCGTTATCTTTTCCTCTTTTTCCTTCTTGCTGTTCTCATCTCTGATATATACGTAACTGATTGCTTACTATATATTTTTATGGCTTTGACATACACTTAACAGTGCTCATTTTAAAGTTTTTTTGGTTGTCGGAGGACACACAAGAGAGTAGCATATGGGTGTCCCTCAAGGTTTTGGTTGTCCGCATGGAAATAGCCTAATCATGTACATTTTGTACGTATTGCAGTGACAGCAGACATGGCATTCGCATTTTCACTCATTATATGAAGAGAATAAAATATTGGTAATTGGTAAATGATGCTGGATCAATGACGATATAATAATAGTAATTAAAAGTTGCATGAAATTTATTTCATAACATTACATTAAGTTAACTAACACTACAAATATTAGGCGCGTTCACACACAAGAAAAACCGCGATGCTAATCGCGATGAAATACCGAGATAATTGTGTCGTGTTCACACAGGTGGAAATATCTCGCTAATCGCCGAGCGGGATAATTCTATTAATCGAACTGCGCATGCTCACTGCCGGAATGATGCTCACTGCGCATGCTCACTGCTCACTCGCTTGGAATGATGGGATAGAAATACCGGGATTATTTGCGCGAGCGTTCACACACGCATAATAATCCGCGCTAATTCCAAATAATCGCCAGTCAAAAATGCGATTTGGAGCGCGATGCTGATCGCGATTATTAGTGAGTATTATTGCGTTTCACTTGTAATAATCTCGGTATTTCGATCGCGATGCAAAAACCGGGATTTGCATCCCGCTTATTCGCGCCAGTGTGAACGCGCCTATTACTAACACTGTGTCAAGTCACAGATGAGTAAAAATTGAAAATTAACACGAAACATTGTTGTTAAACGCGTGATGTTATACTTTGTATCAAGCAAACCAGACAATGCGTCTAGACATGTACGTTTTTCAGCGGATTGTGCAACCCTGGCCGTATTAAAATGAACGCGCACATTAGGCGTGTTCACATACAAGAAAAACCGCGATGCTAATCGCGATGAATACCGAGATAATTGTATCGTTGTTCACACAGGCGAATAATCGCGCTAATCGCCGAGCGGATAATTCTATTATCGAACTGCGCATACCACTGCCGAATGATGCTCACTGCGCATGCTCATGCTCACTCGCTTGGAATGATGGATAGAAAATACCGGGATTATTTGCGCGAGCGTTCACACACGCGCAATAACACTGCTAATTTCCAAATAATCGCAGTCAAAAGTGCGATTTGGAGCGCGATGCTGATTCGATTATTAGTGGTATTTGGCCGTTCACACTTGTAATAATCTCGGTATTTCGATCGCGATGCAAAAACCGGGATTTGCATCCCGCTTATTCGCGCCAGTGTGAACGCGCCTATTATGAATATAAAATTTTATAGAGGTTGGACACCGGACAACCACGGAAGCAATTTGTAGTTGCCCGAGAGAAAATCCAGTCGTCACGGACGACCGGACGACTGTTAAAATTGAGCCCTGCTTAATACGTTTGTGTTATAAAGTATTGGAATACATATAATAATTATATATGTATATATTACCTTTCTATCTGTGTATCGCTATAACTAAGTATTGTATCGTGACCTACGTATCGAGATACGTATCTTATCGTGACCATAGTGTATCGTTACACCTCTAGTGCACGTGTGTGTATGCCGGACATGTGATCTAACGATGCTCTCTGTTATTGCAGCTGTTCTCGCTCTCCCTACTCGCGACGCCATCGTAGCCGTAGTCGGTCTCCAATGTCAAATAGGCGCAGGCACATGGGCAGCAGGGTACGTATGCAGAGCCTTGGTCTTAGCCAGTGTACTTCTGCTCAGTTTTATTCCTAGGTAAGAGGGCGTGGGTGCATGTAAACATAAAGTCTGTGTCATCTAGGTTGTGATCGATTTGATGGAGAGCAGAGGTGTGTATAATATTTTCACCTGTAAAATTGCGATTGCCCAGATCTGTAAATGAATTTTACATTTATCAGAAAGTATTTGAAAACAGACTATTAGTGTGGGTAGTCCTGGAAGGTTTTTGAAATTTGGCTCATGTCTATCTTGTCTGAGAAGCAATAAAATCTGCTTCGTGTTGGAGTTTTCTCACAAATCGCTACGATACAAGACACAAAGATTGGATTCTGATAAAATTGCTACAATGATTTTTTTAAGTCTTGATACACCTGGAAATATGCTTTCCCTTATGTGTGTGAACCCTGGGTACAGTTCACTTATGTTTTGCTGAGATGTGGGTTGCTTGTCTGTGAAGGTTGTTGCGATGTGGCAATCTCCTGGATCAAACTAATGCTATAACATGTCACAATCAACAAACAGGACAATCCCTCTGCGAGCCGTTGCCTTGGTGTGTTCGGCCTGTCTCTGTACACAGAAGAGCGTGACTTGAGGGATATATTTAGTCGCTACGGACCCATGGACGACTGCAATATCATCTATGATCATGGAGTGAGTATCTATGTGTAGAAAATGCATCGATGCATGAGTTTGATTTCATTGTACCTCAAACGTGGTAAAAGTCTGTATGTTCCTCATTAACCAGTGTCGTTCTCGCAAACGTCTGTTTCAATTTAGGAGCCCTGCATGCGATTATCAAGTATATTTGTGTGCTGATCTGCAAAATATTTCTTGAGTTCATATTTGTGTATGTATATTATCATATATATGTCTTTTGATTCCAGTCGGGCAGGTCACGTGGGTTTGCATTCATCACATTCAGAGACGTTGAAGATGCAGAAGAGGTACTAGTAATAATATCATATTGCATTTATATTACTAACAAAAATAAGATGTGGAAAATTTGCCTAAAATTTGCATTCGTTTTAGTATGTTTCATCTAGCTACACTCCTGTTTGAAAGTCATGTCAATGTTTTCGGTTGTCACACTGCATTACCATGCTTGTTCACCACTAGTTGTCACTGCGTTATAGTATAATTGGTCGACGCAGTTAGTCTATAGACCCAAATGTTAGGTGTGCTGAACGTATTGCAGGCAAAGGAAAAGTGTTCTGGAATCGAAGTTGATGGACGCCGAATCCGTGTTGACTATTCCATCACTCAGCGGGCTCACACGCCCACTCCTGGCGTCTACATGGGTCAGTCAAATCGTCACACCAGGTACAGAGCTTGTGATTATTTCTTTCTACTCAGAATCCTGAGAATGGATGCTTTAGTGTGTGTGTGTGCGTGCTTGGGTGCGTGCATGCATGCGTGTATGCTGCCACAGTTCTCAAATTCGGGATTTCCTCTTGTTCACAATCCATGTTTACTTTGGTTATAAAAATTTTTATTTGTTTCATTTTACGTTTCATTTTATACCCTACAGGCGGAGCCCTTCACCCTCCTACCGAAGGCGTGGCTACTCGCGTTCAAGGTCCAGGTCATACTCACCACGTGAGTTGTGTTGACGAGTTTAAAAAATTCTGTGCACATGCCAGCTGATCTGGTAGAGTGGTGTTTTGACTTTCCAAGGAATATAGCACATAGTTCAATTTTGGCAAAACAAGATTATGTTATGTGTCTGCTCTAGTGATGCATTTTAATTATTTATTTAATTTGCAGTTGATTAACTTATATAGATGCTAAACACACAACCACAGACACGCACACATGCACCTACGCACACGCACGCGCACACACGCACACACACAATGTGTAGGAATCTATACAATAATATATTCATCACCTATAAAGGTTGAAGTGTGTATGGTAGTACTAATGTTGGTTTGTATTGTTCCACATTTACAGGCCGCTACTGATGTGTAGCAGAGTTAAGTGTGTGGTGCTGTGCACACGGCTGTGTGGTGGCTTTTGTTGGGAGTATAGACGTCTGCCTAACCGCTCATCTAAGAGGCATTCCTGTACTCTAGAGTGAATAAGTAACAGTATATGGAGATGGACTAGGAGATCCATGTACATCTTTTTTTTTTGTCAGAAATAATTAGTTTTAAGGGGTGTGTACTGTAGTTCCCCCCAAAGGAATGTATAATTTTTCATTAAGAGGTATAGAATATATTCACATAACCGACTGGAGAAGTCATAGACATTCCTACAGTTATTCAGTTCATAAATGTCACATTGATTCTACCTAAGCTTTCTTATGACTAGTTAAGATTATATGTTGATATAGTAATTGATTTGTGTATCGTCAGTGGTCTAGGTGGTAGCATACGCGTTATGTGTAGCAAATATGATTGTTAGTATTAACTCTAAAGGAAGAGCAGAGGAGAGAGGAAGGGAAAAGACCTGTTGTAGGCTGTAGGATGTAAGTGAGCAGTAAACTAAAGTCTTGCTAGTCAGCTGTTTTCACTAGGCTCTGCATGGTTCCATGGAAATGATGCTTATGTGAGCTTGTCTGTTTGTGCTATTAGCGAATGAACACACGTGTTCACACCCATGTGTGCACATGCTCGCACACACACACCATGCTCGCACACACACACATGTATGTGTAGCAAATGCTCTTAATATTGGTTCGAATAAGACTTGTGTCATGTGTATGTGGAGATGAAACTAGTGATAATATTTGTTGAACTAATATAAAGTTCTGTGTGTAGCGAGCTGTGCATTAACACTGCGACAACTCTCTGACTGCATGTTTGTTGCTGCCATGAATGCTGGTGCTGTGGCTACGGGTTTCTTTCATATCATGTGGCTACGGTTTTCTTTCATATGAATTTTAAATAGCTTGAACTTTTACGATGTAAAAGCTTCCAGACACATTTACACTTTCCGCAGTGCCGTTTATAAATGTGGACCAGCCTGATGCTGATTCGACCGTCGTTTGCCTCAGTGTAGTGATGCAGTTTTCACGCCAATATGTGACGTGAACTTTATGCTTATTCCTGGAACCGCTGGTAGAGTATTTGGTCAAGACGTGGAACGTGTTAGATTAAAGCGAGTCTCCACATGGTCATCTCTGATGTGTGTTTGTTGAGCACAAATCGATACAGAGTGCGAAAATAAATACAGTTGCTTTCGTTGCATTTCCCTCAGTAACGTCTGTTTTGCTTTTTCAAAAGGTCTAAGAGCAGCCAGTGGTGGGTGAAGATGTAGTGAAGTGAAAGCAATGAAATTGGTCAAACGGCTGACGGTCTCACTCCTGGGCAGCTTGTTTGCACCTGGAGGCAAGACCAACAGAGAAGTAGAAAGTAGAAGCAGAGGCACGAGAGCGAAGGAAAAAGTCGTATCTCTGATCGAAAAACAGGCGGAGACAATGTAAGATCATCTACTGAAACTTTGGTCAGTGCTGTGGGGCAGTGTTCCATGTAGAGACGAACCAAAGTCTGCAAAAATTCAGAGGGCATGAGTTGCATTCGGCTGCATGTGTAGTGGGACCATAGCCGACCAGCTTTAACCATGGGTTGACTGTTAGAAACTTGACCTCGTGTGCGTGACATAAAAAAGAGACATGCTTCGGCAATGTGTTGCCTTTGTTGAAACTAATAGCAGCTATTTGTTTCATAAGGTTATTGAAGACAGAAGAGTTGAAGACAGAAGACAGAAGTAATTGTGAAGGCGGTAATAGACAATCGTATGAGCTGTAGTGAATTATGTAATACATCTGACTGCATTGCATTGCTGCTAAAAGTCTCACTGGTATTGTGAGTGGTCTGCTGTAAGTTGACGTCATGCAAAACGACACATTACAGTCAGTGTTTGAAATAATCAGTTTTTTACAGAACAGTGGTTAGCTCCTAGCTAGTGATGGGTAGCTTGTTGGTCTCAACGATCTTGACAGAAGGACTAAACTGCTCAAGTGGCATACATTACTTGCAGTTTAAAGATGGGGCACAGCTTTTATTTATTATACTGACAAAATAAATATTAAGTTCGCAGGATCAAAGGTCAAATAGTGGACATTTACGAAATTTGTTTCTAGATATATTGTAAAAAAGGTATCTGTGACAATGAATTTTTTTTAAATAGCAAAAATCTGAAGTGTTTAAAGGTTCCCGTTAAATATGGTGATTTCAAAGTTTTTTTACAATTAATAATTTCATTCAATTTTGGAGGGCAATGGTGATATAGTATTTCGAACACTAGAATTCAGGCTGAACGTCTATACCCCGATTTACATCTGATGAAACCTGCTCCGCACCGGTGTAAGGCTAACCACTTCATGAACATAGTTGGGCGAGTGAGTAGAGTGAGTAGCTTCACTGAACAAAATGTCTTACAGAAACCAAAGCAACTCAGTTGCAGAGGCCCTATGCTACACAGTGTGAAATCGTAACATAAACTGCTGCCATATCCATATATCTGCTTATTTGGCCTTAACACGTGGGTATTCATGCATTTGTTTTGTTAACGCTAACCCTGTCGCATAACTCATTCGTGATAGCCGGGGTCGAGAAAAATCGCATAATATTACCTACGGTCCTACACGAATCAAATGCGACCTCTGTACAAATGGTTTAATCATCAGTTGTTTATATTACAGATGAATTCTAAATATCATGTCCATCTCAACTGATATAGCTTCCTGGGGCCCGATGTCAGAAACAAAATTAGTCAACATCAGTCTTGGCATTAACTTCCACTCGTAAACTGTTGACACAAACATCGCAAAGTTACGAGAATGAAAAGCCCTCGCAAATATCCTCTTAACATTGCGAGAGCCCAGGTGGCCATTGTCAGAAACATCGTAAAGTTAATGCTAATGTTAATGGTAAGATAACACTTACCAGGGGCATGTACAGGATTTGTACCAGGGGGGGTCTAACCATAACCCAAAATTGCGAGCACGAATGAAATTAGACCCCCTTAGATGCGTTTTCTGCACGAGCAGGGGGGTTCCGGACCCCCTGGACCCCCCCCCCCCTGTACACGCCCCTGCTTACGACTAATGTTAATGTTACGAGAGTAGCGTTGACAGAAACGTATCGCAGCTATGAGAAAACTCACGATAACAGGAACTTCATAATTTGATGTCACAAGGCTGCTGATTGGACGAGAATGATGAAACTTTTACATCACAGTAATTTATGCCTATCATGATGGGTAACACAAATAAATAATATTTGATGAAAAATGACATTTCCATCTTATATCTTCATATTAAAGTTACGAGAAGGTCTGGGCCAGTGGCGTACACAGGTCCTCAGTTGTGGGGGGGGATGATTTCACTGTTACTTCCATCGCAAAGTATGCGAAGTGTGTATGCCTAGCACACACCGTCAGTGCCTTGGCGCGAAGTCCTTAACGAGGGTGGGTAAGGGTATTTTCGTGAAACGTAATCGGCCGTTTTTATACCTCGTGAACTGTGAATTGCAATTTATTTTGTCTGTGAACTGTGAATAAGAGGTCTCTTTCCTCGTGAATCTATGCATGTCAGGCGCGGATTTAGGCCGGTTTGCACCGGTTTCCAGAAACCGGTCACAGGCCTCAAATTTCACCAGAATGCACCAAATATAGCCTAATTTTTTTAAAATTCCCCCAGACCCCCCTAGCTGCAGAAGAACATATGGAAACTATATATATATATATACACACACACACACGCAGGCACGCACGCACACACACACACACATGTATAAGCATGACTACTGCGCAAGCATATTTTTGATTTTCAGAAGTGTTGTTAGTCAAGAAATACACTTGTATAGGGCCTACTTCTATGACCTTATCTTATGAGTCTAAAATTTTAGCTGTAAACTGGATTATCCCCGTAATCTGTGAAAAGAGCATTATTTTCACTGTGAACTGTGAACAGTACCCCCCCCCCCTTACCCCCCTCCTTAACGGGTGGGGTCCATAGACCCAGCCTAGAGCCCCTGGCGGGGTGCAGGTGCGGAGCCCTTGCCCGGGGTCTAGGGGCGGAGCCCCCGGAAGCTCTTGGATTTTGGAATTTAGAACCTTCAAGATGGCTGTTTTTGGGGAATTGAAAAAAATTGAAATTGTAGGTAAGTGAAATATTTGTGAATTCTAGGGTTATTTTTTTCTTTGGATCCCAGAGGTTTAATAACACCCCCCCCCCACCACACACAACCAGATGAGACAGGATACCAGAGAAGTGTTGCCGAAGGCGGTGTTGATCCTAACCGCTGAGCGCGGATCTTGCGCGCAGTTCCGTGGCAAGGCGCACGCGACCGCGGGAACGTCCTACGACAGTATGCAGCGCTGGCAGCTATGGATCCATAGCTGCCAGCGAACAGTCCAGAATCTTAGGGGGGACAGAGGGCAGAGATTTGGGACGTGGGAGGAACTCGCGACTTAGGTGGGGGGGGGGCCGCGAGCGAAGGTTTTGATTTCGCGGTGGTTCCATTTCCGTGTGGTCTTAGGCGTTTTCACTATAAGTTGTACAGCGCCCCATGACGCATGTCCTATGTAACACTTCATATGTGAACATCAGAGAGATCGCACCATGATTGCATGAAGAAATGGATGACGATGCTGTATGAGAGAGTATGCGCATTATGTGGCTATTCGTAACATCGAACTGATTCCTCTGCGTACGGTATTGCTCAGCTCTGTGCTGCTACAGAACGTTCTGACAGCAGTACCTACGTCATGTTGAAGGGAACTGTCGACAGCCTGAAGTTCTTCATGTAACGTGATGTTCTGCACACAATGGCTAACTTCGTCAATATGATCGATTTGGATGACATTTGTCACGTGTAGTTAAACTTATATTGCGGAACGGCGCATATATGACCGCCGGAGAATGTATAACTGTACAGCCAGCTGTACATGAGCCGGCAAAGTCAAAGTCTGCTGAGGCAGTTACAAGTATAACACACAAAGAAACCATCGAACCATGAAGAACACGGGTGAACAGCGGTATTTCTTTACTGCTTATAAGGCTGGTGAGGTAAATGGAATGAATGGTTACAAATACATCGCAATATATGCTGTTATATGCTTTACATTGCATGGTCGTTCAATTGTCAGACATTGCGCGACGACATGCCCCACCTGCCACCAGGAAAATTAGGACACAGAAATAATGCATACGGAAGAATACCCAATACTTCATCATTCACTAACCGCATACTTCAGCACCCGCAAAATGGTCCGTCAAGGCAGATGTCAAGTACCACACAAATATTGTCAATGTTGTATAGAGTTACAGCTAGCTGCAAACAGAACATGAATTACAACGAATGAACACCATTTCTCAGCTTTGTGCAATATGGACTCGATGAACAGAAGGCTATAATGAAATGTTACATATATACCACTCACAGTAACGTTATGATGCTGCTCATGCTGTGCAGATAGGCTAGTTCCCATTTCAGTTTCTCTTTCCAGTTGGCTTTCTAGACTGGTACCCGTTCGCCACCTTCACTCCGGCAAGTATACTTTGCTACACTGAAGTTAGTTAGTGTAGCGTGTGGAACTGTTGACCGGGTACCAGTCTAGGTTATAGCCGGCCGAGGCGGCTGCAGGAAGAGTGCTATGCATATAGCCTCATTGCGCCATCTATGGCACGCCATATGTACTACACTGATGTGGGGGTCTCAATTAAACCAACCTCAGTTCAACTGGGGGTTTTACAGCAAACCAAGCGCGCCAAGTAGCGAACCAAGAATTACCATTTCTAGGAAATCTCTAGCTACGTGGGTAGTCAAACCCGTCGTGCAATCGCCAGAACTGCTCAATTCAGCAATTGCCCCACAATTACGCTATATAGTAAACCTGTTAAAATTTCTATTCAATGAGTGCAGCGTTGTTGTGTTAGTGTGCCACTACGCTGCCGATCGTCCAGTGGCAGATCCAGAAGTGAATTCTGGTGGGGGGGAATCATGGGAGCTGAAAGGCATGACGTGCCAGGGGGATCAGTATGTTGGAGTGGATGTCCCCCTCCCACTGTGTGGAATTGTTAAAAAGTTGCAATTTAAATGCAATCAATTTTGGACATCTATCAGATGTTTCCTCCTTCAGGGGGGTGTCCCCCTCCTGTTTAGTTTGCTTGGTTAATTTGTTAAACAATGCAAATGGAAGGAATTTATAAAATTAGAAGATTTCCTTTCCCCGAGATGATCTTTGTGGGTCCAACCTTGTGCGACATGTTCCTGACAGACGTTCCAGAATCCCAATCCCAGAGGTGTAAATAGTGTTTAGATAAGATAGTGACTGTGATAGTGTGGTGATTAGTGTTTTCTAGACATTTAAACAGACTTTAAAATAGAATGGTTAAAACCTTCAAATACGAAAAATATGAAGACAAGACAAGTAGAATAATATAATAATTTATTCTCATGGTAGAAAATTGGAGAATGCCGCGTCTCGCATATGCCACAGAAGGCTGGCTAGGATAGGCTGGCTGGCTGGCTGCTGCTGCTGCTGCTGCTAGTAGTGTAGCCATGCTGGTTCAGTTTAAGCCAAGGGAGTTCCTGGGTAGGCTCCCTTGGCTTCAGTACAAGCACTGGGGTATGGTGAACCACCAGACTTGTGGTGGCAGCAATGGTGGTGTACTGAAAAAACACATACTGAGCCCTCTCCATCTTAAAACTACCATTTTTCGCTATAACTGTGAGGTTCAGGGACACCTGAGGAGGGTTTACAACTGTCAGGGCTTGCTCGCAGCTTTCCACACTATCGCACACTACCGCCTTGTGCTTCTTGCAACGCAAAAACGCACACCAGGTGGCGTCTCAAACATGAATGGTCGGACATGCCTCTCAAAAAGCACTCGAGCATTTCGCTCCAGTAACGGTGCAGAAATAAGCTACTGGCCCATACAAAGCGGCACCTGATGGTGGAGAGTGCAAACATCCCATTAGCTGAGGTACATGGTTTGCTGCAATGATTAGGTATTGTACTTGTTCAGTAGAATTCAGATACAGAGTGCAGAATTATTGTGTCAAAGTGACACGAGGTACAGGCAGGTACTACGGAGGTCCCCTGCAGGTCGGTAGGTCAAAGGTCTTGCCTCACAGGTTCATCTTACTACAGACTGTTTCATACATGCAACAGGAAAATGTCACGCTATGGATTATCATTAATACAGAAACAAAATCATTAAATCTAGTAGCAACGTTTAAACTACTTGTACATTACTCAGCAAAGATGAATGACAGAAACACTGTTCGGGGTCAAAGGGTCAAGTTGGTTGCAGTCAGGTAGTTTCCTTTCATTGTCAATTCATTCAATATAACTAGTCTCACTAACAACAGATAAAATGTCAGCCATTTTGGAGCAAATAATCCATCAAACATTACCACGTGAAAGGGAAGCACATGACCACAGTTGTCTAACAATCACAATATTACACACCAAATTCAGACGTCCGTAAATTACTTTGGCAATCTAAAACTCAAAAACATAGTTTGATACTAACGTTTAAACACTACAGTTCCTAAAAAGATTCTAGGGTGCAATATAATTACCATTTACACGACTTAGAGCAAAAATGTAATTTTCAACAATGGTTAATGAAAACAGTGACATGCAACTCTTGCCCTAAATAGTTGTATAAGCTCTTACAATATTCAAGTACCTACACAAGTTTCACGGGGGGAGGGGGTGCAACGGACAAGAGCTGGCCCTGGCGGCAGCCTGCACTGGGACGTTACATGCAACCGAAAAAACAAGCATGCGCCTGCACGCAATGGTCTCCCTCACACAGGGGAGGCGTGGTCATCATGCAAGTGTTCCAGCTTGACCCCTGACCCACGGAACAGAACACGACGTATACCGAGTTACGGCAGCAATCCTGGTGCAACAATGATCATAATTCCACTATTACAAACTGGTACTATTTTAACTATAGATGACTGTGGCTTCAACAGTTTCATAAGACTCGTGTTGATAAACAATGTTTGGCTGGGCCTATCCAAATAACCGGCCCCATTTGTTGCCACTGACAACTGCACCTAAAGAAAGCGGGTGAATATCACGACCGCCTCTGGCCATATAAAGAAGCCCATCTGAAAACCAGATAAACGATAGACTTTCGATCGCCACTGTTTCAGGTCAAAAAAATTCCATCTCAACGTTTAACAACCACTGAATTCGTGCTGGTGGTCTTATGAAACTGTCTCCAGCAAATAATAAGAAACCAACGTGTGTTTGAAAACACAGCAATGTATACAGGATTATTGACACAAAAATTTCCCCTGCTGCACCCTCTTGGCTGACATACTACCACTAGGTGGCGACACATGCTGCAAACTTGTGCGGCCCGCATGTCAGGTGCAGACGGTCACAGACAGGCTGCTATAGCCCGTGGTGTTGGGGCACACCACACGCTAGTGTAAAGGGCGATCGCACGAACGCAGTCTGCCGAGAGAGGTGCAGAGGTGAATATTTATTTATAAGCTGTGTGGAGCGCAGAAGAGCGCAGCTACAGAGACGGTGCCGTCACATGCTGGTGTCGTCTCTGTCCTGCACTCTCCAATGCTCCGCTGAGCCCTGCCGTCGCATGCGCCGGCAGCGCCGCCCCCAGGCGGCACTGCAAGGCGCCCGCGATGAAGTGACTGGCCAACGGCGAGCGTCTGGCAGGGCTGGTTTGCACACACCATGCACGCGGCCTCACACGAGGGCGCCACGGCACGGCGGAGCAATAAATCAAGCATCAGCGATTGCAACTCCACTGGTTTCGTCTGCCTGTAGAATGCACATGTTCACACTTCTGAATGTGGCAGAGGAATCGTTCAAACAGAACAAAACGTAACGTGGTACTTATTATGAGGTAGTAGGATTCAAACCTTCCGAGCATTTTGCGAACTTGTGTATCGTCAAGTTCAGTAAGCCTTTCAATCCTTATCCATGTACAAGTAGTGGATAGTGCAATCGGTTTTTCCAAAATGCTCCTAAAGGTTCCATCATGCCACGAGGCACTCATAATCGCTGGTAAGGGCCATGCTGATAGGCCCCTGAACATGTATTACTGAGCAACAACCAGCATGACCACCTTCCAATATGCACTATACTGGTCTGTCTAATCCGGCCTGTGTGATACATGGGCTGTGTAGAACCATTCTCGATTCTATGCTGTACAGCTAGTTGTTAACTGTAGCGTAACAGGACATATCAAGACGGGTGGCCTTTCCCGAACGTTGAACGCGAGATAGAGGTTGGCCGTGCTGGCTGTTACATGCATCTATCGCCGTTGTTACGGGCTATAAACTCTACGACAAATCAGAATCGGGGAACCAGAACCTCTAGACGTTTGCGGCTGCTGCTGCTGCTGCTTTATACTGAAGAGGACTCGTCCGACAACATCCGAAGCTAAGACTCTTGGGTAAAGTCCATTAGGCAAGTCTGCGTTAAACTTTCACGAGGCCATCTGCCTGAAATAGGCTAGTGTGTGACTACACTCGCTGTGACTGGTGTCTGCCAGTGTCAGCTGTGACGACTCGTAGTCACAAGTCACAGCGATATCTTCGATCGATCATTAATGTACATCAGTGCAAAAAGGCATCAAATTTCACCCAGGTCCACAATAAAGCATGGCAATTGTGCTTGGCTCCTTCCATGCACACGGATTAAGTGGAAGCTTGGGAATCGCTACGGCAACCCACAACAACAGAATAATTATCAGCAGCCTGTTTCAAAACAAAAGAACGTCGTTTTTGTAGGAACACCAACAACAGCGGAGTGTAGCGCCAGCTTAACACACTGAAAGCCAATGGACTTCTAACATGCCTGACTGAGAGAAATCTCACAAGTTCTTGTTGCTCTCAGCTTGCACTCGAAATCGCTGCATCGATATCGATTTTACCTCAATAAAAATTGTAACAAAAAATTCTCTCACAAACAGTATCAAAAATAAATTTTTTTTGTATAATTCCATTACAAAATGAGGACCATTAAAATTTTTTGTAAACATTGGCCCTCGATTTTCCTTTTTTCATCCTCAATAATTAATACCAACACAATATCAACAGCTGCTGTATATATAAAATAAGTAATCGCCCCCCCACTGTGGGGCGCCACTATTTGATATTCCACTCTGGTCTTTTGATGCCTTGGTGCGATGGAAAAAGTTGAAGCTGCCCTCCGGTAGGCCGACTTTCGAGGTCGACAAAATCTACGGAAATAAAATTTTGAGCAAAACGTGCCATTATAAAATCACCTCGTAAAAATATAAATTTATACGCCATTGATTTTTTGTTTTTTTCCCAATTTAAAACTGGATCGCTGATAAGCTCTTCAAAAGCAAAGAGCAGGACGACAGCGCCAGCCGACAGTAGATTTTGCGACGACTTCCAGCAGTTACGGTGGCAGCCGCTATCTGCGTGTAGTCGCCGTTGCCAGGGCAACGACCACGAATGTCACTCGTGCCGGCAACCGGAGAACAGCTTCGTCGTTTAAAAGTCCATGCTAATGGGGAAGAAGGGTGTAGTCGAATCCTTCGATCTGATGTCATTCTCTTTGGTTTTACACAGCCAGGCTTCTCGTATCGAGGTATTCACGTCCGAGTACTGTGCTTGCTTGCTGTTGTTGTTATGGGCCATTGTTCTGGTACTGGTTGGGTCCACGCTCGCGCCGGTCGCCTCCACCCCCGCCTCGCCGCACCGCCCCCTGTTGCAAGGCATTCTGCAGCACTCCGCGGATACGCCGCTGGGCAGACTGAAAGCGGATGACAACAAACTGGTAAACACTGAGGAATCGTCACAGCAGGTCTGTCAGAATAACAAAAGCACTTTTTAGTAGGAGCGCAAAATAAATTTTCCCTGATAATGCCGCTTTCGTGTTGGGCAATAAGCCATGACAACAATTCAAATAACTGGAAATACTAGCTCACCACACTCATAAACAGTGTGGTTGTAAACTTTTTCAACTATTTCTGCTATCCAACTCGAATCACTACGCGTGCTGCAATTTTGTGGCAGCCTAGGAGCGACCAGGTGATACGTGCCACCCATGCAGGACTCGTCCGTACCTGATTGGCAAAGAAATTTCCAATGATGCGCACAGGTACCTCATCACCCTGCGGCGCTTGCGTCTCTTCTGGCAGCTTTACTATGGCACCGGATACGCGTTGGATCTCACGAACCTGCAGAAAACACACACGTGTCAAGTGTGAGGAGACGACAGGGTCACGCGGCATACGATAACTGCGATAATATAATCGTATGCATCATAGCTTCATATTAGATAGATAGTCAGATAGCAAAGCTTCCATTTTGAGGAGGCCTGAGAGCAGGCTCACACTCACGTTTTGACCTCCCTTGCCGATGATGCGTCCGACCATGAGCGTCGGCACCATGATCTCCACTCTGAGGCGCACATCTTCAGTGCCAAAGTAGCCTTCTGTTCGCACCTTGTCGAAGATGTAGTACTGCGCCTTCCACTGTGACTCGGGCGTACCTGTGATTGTCACCTGTCGCTCGCCACTCCTGTCAGGAGCCTCCTCCGACGCAATCTGTGCAACGATGAACACGGGGCATGGTAAAAAGTGCTGCAGCAAGCATATATGCACATGGAAACGCCTCGCGTCACCACACCTCCCGTGTCACGTGCACCACGGAAATGCATAGCATCGCATCAGGCACGTCACCACAGAAACAAAGTATAGGAATGGTCTCACAGCTACAGGCACATAGCACTGTGTTTTACTATGAACATAGCAGCACATCTTTGGTCAATGGTACTGTATGATTAAACTCAGCAGTTCAAAACAATCCTGCCCCAGTATGAACCCTCAGATAGCAGCACTGATATATAAATCATGGAACGTACTATATCAAGCAAAATTCCTGCTCCCAAACACAAATACGCACACTCACACACAGATAATAATAATGTCAATAGAAATACCTTTACCTATGAAAAACGATCAATCAAACCGCATGAGTAATAACCAGACCAAACAGTAATACAAATACCTGTACCTGCCAAACATGATGAACAAGCAATCATTCAAAAATCACTGACCACTCGTTTCTCCCCGATCAGATTTAATCGGCTTGGCATTTAGCCGCAACACATACACACTCACACGCGTGTATAACAGCACTAGTTTTAGAAATGCAGGCAGTCAAAGGTACACATGGACAACTAAGCAATAGAATGATCGCAGAAAAGTATTCTGAAGCGGCTTATGAAGGCCATGCTAGATGTTAAACACGGACTGTTCAGGTATGTTAATGATAACCACCGAGATTTTAAAAATCAGACTAAGCCAGAACTTGAACCGTCTAGGCTGTTTACGAACATCACTTAGCTTCATTAAAGATTATATGGCTACACTTCTTTAATGTACACTGCAGAATTTTTAAGAACAGACTGTAGGTGTAACAGTTCTTCAATAAAAATTATTTTTTCTCGTTTACATGAGCGTGCATATAGAACAGAATATGAAACAAATTGCAGGAACGAGTCGTGCACACCACATTCACTACAGTCCGTGCTTGACAAAAAATCAAACCAAAGAGAGACACCCACCCAAGCCGCTCAAAATGCTTTCCGCCGATAGCGAGGGAATAAAAAGCTGTAAGCACACCTACCCTGACCCTATCCCTGTCTTTGTCAGTGACAATCTGAAAAAAGCAGTCAACAAAACATGCAGAGTTACCAAAGCAGCATCACCAAGTCGACCCATGCAAATGCAAATAGAAAAAACAAGCCCTACACCGATGATATTAACCGCCAAGGAGGTGGAAAGGACAGAGATAAGCAACAGCGGCGTGGCAGGAGAGTGGCAAGCGGCAAGCTTGGAGTCATGTTACGTTATGCCAGTGGCTGGCGTGCTCAGCTGCATGAAAATAGCTCAGCAGCTTGCACTTTAATTTGCTCTCTTATGCCTTGGCGAGAAAAATGAATGCATTCTTCTGCTACAGTAGGTGGTGGACCTACATACGCCCACCCTCTACTCACTGTGGAGACAATTAGTACATAGCCACTTGGTTAATCTGTGTCTAACAACAGCCACATTAGCAGAGTAGCACCAGAAAACACTCAACCACTCCCTGATTCCATTTCACCTCCTCATTGCAAAACAATACATTTAAATTTTCATGGCGGTATACGTACAACAAATACATATAACTGCATGAAGAATGCACCACCAAGCACTAGCAGGATGTGTAATTGGAAACAACTATTAGAAGATCTCCTTTCATACAATCTGTGCATTTCATTAGTAAAGAAGATTCACTTATCTTCAGAATTTTTATTTTATTATTTTGCCATGCAATGAATTTCTGTATCTTACAATATACATACTGTATGCATGCTGTATCTTACAATTCAACGCAAATGATTTTATTTTATTTTTTTTAATTTTTCAATGGCAACGGTAAACAATGATATTCAACAATTTATGACATTTTGCATGGCATGTGGTTTCAATCTCATTGTGCATATGACTAGGCCTCTAAGCAATTCCTGCACAAATTTGCGACAGATTTCATGGAAGGATAGATCTCCAATGATTGATTGTGTGCATCACAATAGAAGTGCTCACACTCCCGCAGTTGCTTGCACAGGATACAATAACAAGATGCGGACGTCAACAAAAACACAAAAAAACGCTGTGCAAGCAATGACAACATCTAACGATGATGGCACACACATGCCCATGCTGCTATGTGGAAGCACTTGTCGCAGGCAGACACCGAGCCAACATTCACCTTGCTGCGGACGGCCGAATTGCAGTATCGAAGCCACAGGAGGGACAGTAACCCGCTCCCGACTTAGAAACCGAGTCAAGACCATACATAAACACTTTCATGGCTTTCCCATGCATCCATCCAATCCCATTTTTTTCTGTGGACCCAATCCCATTTCGCAACACGGCAGATTTTTCGCCATGAATCTCACACTGAAAATGTATTATGCTGCAAATGTCTCTACCGTTTCCAATTCTGACGGGTGCCCCGCTCACTGCAAGCCGACCGTCCCGTGCCCACGACCGATTTCCACGTCTCCCCCTCCCACCCTCTCGCGAGCACGAGGGGGTGCTGACTCGCGTGCCCCCCGGCGCGCGTTGTACCTTGATGCTGGCTCCCGAGAGACGGATGATGTTCTTGATGTGCGCTCCCTTGCTGCCGATCACCGCGCCGACGCACGCGTTCGGGATGTAGAGCAGCGCCGTCTCAACCTGCTGAGCCATGTGCGCGGGTCCGCCGCCACCGCCGCCGCCCCCGCTGCTGCTCATCCCACCCGGGAACATGCCCGGCATCAGCGCACCGGCACCCTGTAACAGGTAAGGGTCCTAACAAAATCAATTAGTCTAGTTCTACGAAAAACCAGCAGCGCGAGAATGGTGCGAAGCGTCGACTGACCATCGTCTAGACATTTAATATTTGTCGTGTCATTCAATAAGCAGCTACTAATGAGTTTGCAACATTGCTTTGTCACGTGAACATACAACATTATATTAAGTTGAATGGAGCTGGCACCTGTAAATATATCTTATATATATGACAATGGCATGATCACAGCCACAACTGTCAACAGCAACATAGCAACATAAATAATCAAAAAACAATATATTTATTTGACAAGTCAATTGTCGTGCAAAAATAAAAAATAATCCTCAATGTGCATGGTTATATTACGGCCACTATGAGTGCAAGTGCTACAACACACCATACTACATGTGAAAGTTCCTGACAGTACTGAGGAATACACTGAATACTTCCACCACGTGCTAAGATGCTGTGAGTACTCCAAGAAGCCCACTGTGCAGATCAAAAGATGCAAACACTAACAACCTGCTTTAAAAACTATGTAGAAGAGCAAGAATGAAAATATGTGAGAAAGAATGGCAAAATCCTCACACGTGCCCATACACATGCACGCACGCAGGCACTCATACCCAGACACACGCACAAAACCATACACGCACACACGCACACGCACACGCACACACGCACACACACGCACACACGCACAAATAACAATGCACACATGCATGCACCCACTCACACAATCACAGACGCACATGCGCACGCACGCACACAGACACCCAACACCACGTACACGTGCACGCATACCCAGACACGCAAGCAACACGCACGCACATAACCAAACATGCAATCACAAGCACGCACACATGCTCACGGTGACAGGAAGACATCACAGTGAGCCCTCCCACCATTAGAGAAACATCACTAACCACAGCCAAGAAAGAGCTACACGCTAAACTGCACACAATTTGGTACTTACTGCTGCTGCAGGTTCCTGCCAATAAAAATTAGGCCGATTACATTTCTGTGCACTAATCCAGTAATGATCGTTCACAACCATACACGAGACAAATCTGTCCTAGTTTTCGGGTGAGAATTACATTCTGCGCATGTAAGTAGCACCTTACAACAATCAGCATACTTGACCACTGAAATCTACTTTAAAATTTTTTATGTTATATTTTTATATTTCTAACCGGTCGACTGATTTCACAGACGGCAAAACACGCCTTAAGTGCACTGCTAAAGTTATTATGCAATGCTGGAGAGAAGAATTAAATTTACGTGCGCAGGACGAATGCACAGCCAGCACATGCCAGTGCGGTTTGGGACGGTCCATAAATAACACTGACGTAGTTTCACCATTGCCAGTCACATACGAAGGAGGTAAACCACAAAACAGTAATTATTATCGCTGTGCCCACCATAGATACACCACACACCACAACTCGTGTGACGTGTAAGCAATCATGGGCAACAAGGGAAGCTGTTACGCAAATCCGAGCGTCAACCTACGTAAGCTGGGTAGCCAGGGCTGCCCCGTGGGCCGCCGGGTCCTCCTGGGTAGCCGATCGGTGCTCCTCCCATCATCGCCATCTGGTGCATACCCGGGCCGCCAAACATCATGCTTTGCGGCTAAACACAGAAAACAACGATCAGATGGCGATGTCATTTCGCAGTTGTTGTTACCTCCGCCAAGGAGGTAATGTAATTGGTCTCGTGTGTGTGTTCGTGTGTGTGTGTGTCCAGTCCGCGCGGCGCGATCGATAGCGCGTCGAGTCAGCGAGCGGGCGGCGCGATCGATAGCGCGTCGAGTCAGCGAGCGGCAAGTCAGCAGCAGGCGAGTGAGTCAGCAGCCGCCACCAGCGAGCGGCGAGTCAGCAGCAGCCAGCAGCGAGCGGCGAGCCAGCTCGTAACACATACATGTTACATGCTGGCGGAGGTATACACTCTCCGTGAGTGCCCTCTGTCTAGTTCGTATTAAATTACTGCTATATTCTATGTTCTACAGATTTTCTATATAGTCATAATGAATTCCAGGCAGGCCACAAGCAGAGTTCCACACATTTGCCAACCCTCCACACTCCAAAACCCTAAACAACACAAGAGTCAGGTGCCTGTGTCAGGCAGAGAAGACTATACTGGTTATATAAGCACGCCCGCTCACCACGACTCCCACTCTCCCCATTCCTTATCGTGCCCGCTCCACCCCGCCCGCTCACCACGACTCCTACCCTCTCTCCTGATTGCGCCTGCCCAACCTCGCCCGCTCACCGCGACTTCCACCCTCCCCCCTCCTTATTGTGCCCGCTCCACTCCACCCTCCGCCTCCTTATTGCGCCTGCTCCACCCCCCTCCTTATTGTGCCCGCTACGCCCCGCCCTCCCCTCCTTACTACGCCCTCTCCACCCCGCCCTCCCCCCTCCTTATTGCGCCAGCTCCACCCCGCCCTCCCCCCTCCTTATTGCGCCCGCTCCACTACGCCCTCCCCCCCTCCTTATTGCGCCCGCTCTACCCCCGCCCGCTCACCGCCATGTCGTTCTCGAAGCTCTGCCGCAGCTTGGAGCTGATCATCGCCTCAGCGTGCGACATGCTCTCGACGGCGCCCTTGATCGTGATGATGCGCTCCATGTTGTAGCTGCTCACGTCGTGAATGCTCGACACGGTGATCTTCGTGTCCGAGTCCTGCATTATCTTCTTGATCTGCGCGCCGCCCTTGCCGATGATGCGGCCGACGAGATTGTTGTGAGCAAGCATCTTCAGCGGCACCTCGCTGAAACACATCGACGCAGCCGTCGTCACGCACCCGACACGCTTAGGCGGAATTAGGCTATGTAGTGACGGCAACATAGGGCTCATGCATGCAAGGAAAACGCATTTTTCCGCACGTGTTTTTTAACACTTTAACAGTAGTTTTCGATGACTGTGCAAGGCCGTAGCCAGAGCAAGTTTCTGGAGTGGGGCCAAATGTCATGAATCAACTGTGTGACTTAAAAGTGACGGGTGCAGCTCTTGATCAACGTCCATAATGTGGTAGGGGTGGGTCTGAGACAAGGATTTCACGGATAAGTGACCAAAAAAATCACGTTAGGGTTATTTACGATTATTGGCTAAGCTTATATTTTAAATTGGCTCCAAAATCTAGGGGGCACCTACAATCTTTTGCATGAAGCAAGATTTATTGCTTCTCAGACACGATAGACAGGATAAATTTCAAAGAACTTCCAGGGCTAAAAATAATAATAGCACATTTTCCAGGACCATAGACCTAGAAAATAACAATACAATACGCCACCTACCCTTCAGGTACCTGTACGAACCCGCGTTTAAACCTAACGCGTTTAGGCATAGTAAACTATGTAGATTCAGTCTGAATTACTGTTGGTTGCACAAACTGATCGATTAAAATACCAATTGCTATCTAATCCGCACTGCTGATGAATGCTATAACTGCTTGTGAAATGTATAAGTATGCTGGTTACTAATAGAAAGCTCAATAAACAAGTGCCGCAGAGCGACAGCGCTCAACTGACGTGTACTGTAGCCGGGTATTCTCCTGATAAACTCACTGGCAACCGAATCAAGTGCCACCGCGTTGATAGGCTTTGCTATACCGGTAGTACAGTAATAAAGACATACAGGGGTAGAAATTGACTTTTGAATGTTCAAGGGAGTCCAACGGACTCCCTTCCTGCCCTCAAAAAGAGGGAGTCCGTAGCTAAATCAGAGAGTACACAGTCTGAAGTTTAAAACTAAAGCATATATCAGCAATAACACATGTGCTTGTTTTGAAGATTATTGCCATGCACGTCTGCCAAATTTTCTTTAGACATTTGCTGAAAAAATAGGGTAATTCTGCGAGGCCTTCCTCTGGAACGAACTACTACTAACTTGTATAACAGAATTTTCAGGGAGTCACACGGACTCCTGCATATGTCAAATCAGGGAGTACGACAGTAAATCAGGGAGTATTTGACTCCGGATTCAAAGGGTCAAAAAGTTATCAGACACTTACTCTTCGCACGTCAGCGGAAAGTAGATTTCATGATCCTTTCAATAAAGTGATAAAAATGGTAGGTCAGCGCGGAAATCAAAAAGTTTTGCACTCGGTCCGTTAGACCATGTCCTCAGAAAATGTCTGATATCTGACCTTTCCCCACTGCCTTTTGACCTGTGTCCTCCAATTTCGCAATGGTGATGGGTTTCCTCCCCATCACACTATACACCGAATATTAAGAGCGTAGGTCGAGCCGTTGAGATTTGTGCCGCAATTCCGTATTTCCTCCTATACCTTAAGTTGGGAAATATCCTCTCCATTGACCCAGATCCTCGACCTTTGACCCTTGACCCGCCAAATATAGACAGTACCGAGTCCTTTTGCGCAAATCCCGGCCGCCGTCGCCCGAATATCAAGACCGGTCATCGAGCGGTCAGATTGTGCCCAACCTGTTGACGGAACCGCAACGGACGGTACGGACAATCATCCGATTCTACAAGCTCTGCATGCCGACTTCGCAACTGAGCTAAACAAGTAGCCGCGGAGCGACAGCGCTCATCTAACGTCTACTGCGGTGACTCTGTGGTGGAAGTGGTGGGATTCTAGTAACCCTGTTAGTCTCAAATGTGTTACACATACAGCGCCGAAACAGTGGAAGGCAACAGGGATGGTATCAGAAACCTTCTCAAAGGAATGTTTTGTGGATCGTTATGAACAGTTGCCGCACGAGATGGGCGCCGTAGATTTAAGTGTTTAAGATTAAAGATGGAAGCTCGCCGATCGTAGCTAGTAGGCAACACACTACCTTCCAAGAACAGAATAGCGTAAGCACTCATCTTACCTACGCAAGCACAGGCGAAGATTTAATGAGAGCTGCCACCTGTAAACTAATTAACGCACGGCGAATAAACTACACAGTACTATCACACCACATAGCACTGGCAGTGGCCCAATAAGATTACATTGTATACCACACTGACAGTATCGAGATGCCATAGAAATATATACGATTTAAGAGCAATAGCAAACCTTCTCAACCAAAATTTAGCTTTTGAAATTTTACTGTTGACATTGTAGCCTTTTATCATCCAGGCATGTATAAGATTCTCTAGCAAAACAGCCGCAGTCAAATTCTTATCAAACAGTAAACAAATCCATGTTTAACCCTCCTCTTCGAGAGGCTCAAAAGGTTATCCGACACTTACGGGCTTCGCATCGTCAGCAGGAAAGTACATTTCATGGTCGCTTCAATAATAGCCATAAAAAATGCATAGGTCACTGCTGGAAAAGCCAAAAAAGGTTTTGCAATCGCTCCGTCAGACCATGTCCTCAGAAAATGTCTAAAAATCTGCCCTGTGCCCCATATGACCTTTCGACCTGTGATCTCATTTTCGGCATAGTGATGGCTTTTCCCCTACCATGATCGCTAAATACACCTACTATCACGAGGTTAAGATTTGTGCCCAACTGTTGACGGACGGACGGACGGACGACGGACGGGACGGGACGACGGACTGAACAATTCATTGCGATTCTACAAGCTGCACCTGACTACGTCAGATGTGCTAAAAACCGAATTACAATTTGTTTGGACAATTGTCCACTACTGATGTCTCTATCATTCCAAAGAATTTCCAATTTCATGGTGTTACGCCGCATTCCTCAGTGGAAGTAAAATCGAGTAAAACTGAATCTAGAAATTTTTCAAATGAAAAATGGTTAATTCAGGAGGCTAAATGTGAAATGCTAGACGAAATTTATTCTATAAGAACACCACTAGTAAACACTAGAATTTGTACTGGCAGCCATTGTTGCTTTTTGTATGTTGCAATCTTGAGTTTAGCTTTTAACTTCTATCGTAATCTTAATCATAATCTAAACACTTTAATACAATAAATGGAGAAAAATATCCAAAGTGTTTAGATTATGATTATGATTATGAAATCGCATGATTTCAGTTGGATTCTATATTCTGTGAGAAGATTGCATGTGCTCAGCAACACCTCCATCAAGCGTACGTTACGGGTTCATCCATCAGTGCATTAGCACACAATATTGTTGCCTGCGACAGGATTCAATGCAAGAAATGACGACTTCTGCAGTGAGTTTTAAGCACGCACTTTACTCTATCCCTGTGACATTTGCAAACAAGCAAACATGGACATAGCTTGCCTTCTGCTTATTAGGGAAACTTGTGCATACTTTAACCAGAGTTTTTTGCCAATTAGGAGAGCGATTAACAGACGGTAATCACTGAACAATCCTGCTCTTTGTGGAGTTGTTACTTCCAGGTCCACAAGCCTGGCTACAATAAGGGGGCTGGAACTTTCAATAAGGTGAGTTTTCTAAACGTGCCTGAGCATGAGACGTTTTAACAAACTACAGACTCACCCTTTTCCAGTGTTCTGTGCTTCTTGTTCCATTACTTCCATTATCTTCTTACAAGCCTGTGTGCAATTTTCTGGATTGCCAAATATGGTAATGGCCTGAAACATTGCCTAAGCATTAATGCGTAATTTTAGTATGTTTGAAGATGAAAGAAGACAGCCTAAAGCTACATACCTACAGTAGTAGAGCGAGAGCATGAGGAATAAGAAGATACTGATAAGACACAATTAAATGGCACAGACATGCACTGCTACATTTTACAAGTAGAACAGTTCTACACATACTAGTGTTAGCCATCTATATACAATTAGATAACAATATCAACAATCATTAGTTGCAAAAATGAATTAAGGATCTCGCTAAAGTGGGTTTGGTGTTTCTCTTAATTCCAATTCCAATTAATCATAATTCATCTGAAATAACATGGCACATCATCACCAAATTGAACACTTGGTTAGAACAAGTTTGTAAGTTAAAACTGGTGACAAAATGACCATGTACTTACATTTACTCATTAAGAGTGTGCAAACCGATCGATGCTATCGGTTACTTGATGGTACGATCACAAATATTTGACAGTATTAAAATGTAATGATAGTTTTAAATTGGAAAAATTATTGAGTAAGCATTCGTTTTCATAAAATTAGCGTGTTGCATGCGACAGGATTCAATGCGAGAAACAATGACTTCTGCAGTGAGTTTTAAGCATGCGCTTTACTCTATCCCTGTGACATTTGCAGACAAGCAAACATGGACACAGCTTGCCGTGTGCTTATTAGGGAAACTTGAGCACATCGTCACCAGTACTTTTCAGTACATGCCAACAGAAATGAACTAGGACATCTACATGTCACGAATAACCTAACTATGTTAAAGGGTATACTCTTCTATACAACAAAGAAAATGTTTTTTTTTTGCTACAAGGAATAAGCAAACCCAGCAGCTGCTGGCAACACCACCAACACACAAAACGTTAATGACGAGTCACACAAACTATACGCACCTTTTCTAACGTTCCGGAATTCTCTTTTCTGTGAACATCAACCCTGGAACGAATTAAAAAATAATAATCAGAAACTCATCCCTATTTAAACTCAGGATAGTTACACCTCATCAGTGGTCTTTTATAGATTCTTTAATTCGTTCGATATGCTGACAAACTCACCAACAACTCAAAACCACTCTAGCTAGTAAAACCTAGTAATATGACACACACAAACACGACATGAAAAGATTCTCAAAGCTACAGAAGAGAAAATATGCCTGCATTTCTTATCTTCACCTACCGTGCTCTTGTCTGTTGGGTGATATTACGTATAGTGGCACCTCCCTTCCCGATGATGGCCCCTACCATGTCACTGGGAACCAAAATCCTGAAAGACATTCAAATTGAAGAACTGATGATATATTATAACGTGGAGCTGGTCATCTGATAGCTTGTCCAAGGTTTTCTCCCACGAGGCTGACAGTTCGTGCCACGAACATGCCAACGGGGAAGTCTTGATAGAACCCAGTGAGGTTTGCGCCATCTAGAAGTCGGCACCCCTTGGCACATGTAACAGGTGACCAGACATGAGTTACCCCTGTTAGGTACAACAGGTGGTTTAACAGGCACACCTACGCAGGTACCATGTAACCCGTGAGAAATTACAAATGTACCTAAGTGGATACTCCATGTTTCGCTGGTTGTTTGCCATCCCTGAGAACTGGTTTGAACGGAAAGCTCTACGATTGTTGCCGGCCTTGCTGCCACCGTTGACACCGCCCCCGCCGTTGCCGTTGCTGTTTGTTCGTTCCAGCAGCTCAGCTTTGAGGGTCGATCCCTCGTACTGGTAGTCGTTCAGCTCACTGACAGCACTGTTAACACATTCACACACATGTTTTTTTACTATTTAATTGTGGAGGTAAGCTACCTGCCATGTTTAGATACCTTCTCCATACAATTCTAGATTCTGCAAAGATAGGGGTTTTAAGTGCTAATATTCTATATTTATTTTAGGCACTTACTATCTGAAATCAATTCCTTAGAAAAATACAAAAAATATGTCCAGATAATATCAAACAACAAAAATCTTATGCAAAGACTACTTTCCTTTCAAAAACTGATATAGTAAGTCTGAAAAGGTAATAAAAATGGTGCTTCAATGTTTGTACCAGGATCATGGGAAAAAAATAGTAGGATTGGCCAATTCAGAATGAATCCTATAGTAGGTGCTGCCAACATTGGACTTGATGAATTTGCACCACATTTATCATTTAATCCAATTATGAGTAAGGTGTTTTATATAAAGAAGACTAAATTATCAGCCTACGGTTCACAATCAACCGTATTAAAAAAGAAATCTAAACAAAAAAACAAAAAACAAACTGCAACACTGTTCAATCTACAAGACAACTTGCTACAGTTGCTGGTGCTGTTACTGTGGTGATGGTAATCGTAAAATTCTCCTATACTCACTGAAATTAGACATTTCAATTCAGATTGCCTAGCTATATGGCCGAGGCAAGGTCCTAGCAACCATTGCCAATACACAAACAACTATGAATGAGCACTTGTTACAACACTAATATACCACATCGAATTGTTATTCCACACCGTCACTGATTTATTATCAGATAAAAAAAAGAGAAAAAAGCACTCTAGGCAAACCACACCACCTGCAGAAGTAGAAGAAATGTAGCAATTTACCGTTGGGCCTGCTCCGGTGTCTCGTAAGTCACTATCACTGAACTTGGGGTATCATCATCGGTAGCTGAAAGTAGAAGAGCGAACACCAACGTAAGCCTGGGACACGTACGGCCAAATATGTGTAAGCACAGTGTGTAGACACTTCTGGCATTTCCTCGAGTGTCCGTTATACTGTTAACCCACCTCACCAATAAAACAAATCACCTGTCTATAAGAACACTATTGCAGGGTTCTCCCCAGGATGAAATTCAAATAGGGGGAAGGGAGGGGTAGGGGGAGGGGGGGAGGGGGGAAACTAGGGGGGTCCGGGAGGCGTGTATTTTTACCGTACGACTAATTAATGCGTAAAATCGCCACCACACCATAGACGGTATTTGGGGTTCTTGTATATATAAGATAGCCGAGTCGGTGTACACTGTACAGTTAGTGACAGGTTAACTTGTGTACTGTCTGCAGTGCATGTGTGGTACGGTAAAAATACACGCGTCGGATGTCCTGGTCGAACGGCAATTCTTGACGATCGATCCCTGCGCTGGCAAACTTTTATTGTGGTGGAATTTAAACGGGGCGGAGGTAATTTAAACGGGGCGGAGGTAATTTAAACGGGGCGCAACGATTCAAACAGGGGGGAGTTTTCCCAACGTTTGCGCAACGTAGGGAGAACCCTGTATTGGGGTTACTCTCGTGTGGTCGTTATTTTTAACAAGTTTGAAAAATAACAAACAAACAAAGTAGTAGTAGTAGTACAAAACACCACCGTGCACAAAAAACACACACAGGCACAGGAGCGCAGCACAACCAGCACAGCTGTGCGAACCACGGGTCTGTATAGCCGAGCAAGCGTGGCTACAAATGCCTACCTGCACAGGAGCATTCTACTGGCTCCCTGCTCTCCCCGATTTGTCCACACTGATGTAACAGTACATAGGACAACATAATAAATTGGCTCTCATTTTTGCCAGGTGTGAGTTTACATAACAATCTGGTACCCCGCTATAGATGTAGCTTGCAATTTAATGCAGCCCCCCCACACACACATGCTATCCCAACGCATGCAAAGGTTCCCATTCTGCCTAGACCCGGTTGAGGCGTTGGTATACATAGTATACAGTACAAGCCTTAAGGTTGCACAGGTTTTGTCACCAGTAAACGTTTACAAATTACACGAGCTAAAATGGTGTTACGCGAAACTGTTCTCAATTCTGATTACTCAGCGTCGACAGATGGCGCTGCACGCCGATGTCTTTTGCATACAGGTGCAGCGGTGGCGGCGGCAGCGAGGCCACGTATTGATCCATTTCAATGAACTGCAGCTCAACCTGGCTGCCATACATGTTCAATAGCACCACACCACCAACTGTTACCCTCGAGTAGTTACAGCCAGCGCCGGCTCATCTAGTAGGTGTGTCAACAGTGACACTGTCTCCTGCAGAAATATAGCCGCTGAACACCTACCAAGGGGCGGCAGCTGTAAATAATGGTGACAGCTGTACACGACGGTATCATCTGTGGACAACACCGACACGAATGTTTTCCCATTGAGCCAACCTTGCTATCTTTCTGTGTTCTACATAGATCTCACAAATTCTCTGCTATTTACCTACCTCATATCACACCTCCTTGCCATGGGACCTCCACTGCTTCCTCATTTCCCTCTAGCCCTTCCTTACTTCCACCTCTTACCTCGCCGCGTTATGCATATGCATCCGCTTGCCTTAACAAGCAGCGCGTATGTAAGGCAAAACTACGGAGGCGTACGAGCGCTAGCTAATTTACTTCAATTTCCCGCGCGAAGAACGCATCCAAAAACTCGAACACGAGCCAGAATGCGGGCTGCAGTCCGGGTTCAATGGCTGGGCATATTTTAGGTTGCCTCAGCACACACGCAATGCGCTATAATTACCAGTGCGTATGCGCAGGAGAGAGCAGTGTGTGCTGGGCGAGTTGTTGCGACCAGCATCAGCGACAGCAGCTATATTATATATACAAGGGGGGACCTATCGACCAGCGTGTGCACGCACGCTAGCTACACTGTCTGCGCGGCTCATTGCTGTGTTGGCTCTCTCACGGGCGATGTACGCGAAGCTGCGATGCATTGTAAGGCACACGCAGCCGATGGCACGAAAGCACAGACGACCCAAGGCCCACAAAAAAGATGTGAGGCCCACAGAGATGATGTAAGGCACACACAGAAGACGCGGAAGGCCCACAAAGAAGATGTAAGGCACACAAAGAAGATGCCAGATCCACGCGGACGACGTAAGGCAAGCACAGACGATGTATTCCAAGCGCAGACGAGGCAAAACGAGCACCGCCGGTGTTAGGAAAGCGTAGACGACGCAAAGCAAGCGCAGACAATGTAAGACAAGCTGGGATGATGTATACCCAGCGGAGACGTTAAGATAAGCGCAGACGAAGTGAGGCAAGCCCAGAAAACGCATATGGGATGACCTTACAAGACCATAAATGTGGGGGAGACCATGACGACGATGCGTCCAGGCATGTGTACAGCGTGACTGTGTAGATGACATGTCAAACCTGTGTTAGCCGGCACCTCTTATCGATTTTACACCTGTCTTCTTGGCTGTCTATAAAGCTGACCCCACGCGTTTCCCTCGAGTGATTGTTATTTAAAGTGAAACCATATCTGTAGAATAGACATTTATCTAGAAAGGCCACCTTTTGGGTTTGCTTTTAGTTACACTTATGCATAGGTTTGAGTATACACAGCACTCTCATTGCATAAAGTCCAACATTTAGCCACAAGACAGGTCTGGAATATATTTCCAAAATTTGACTAATTAATGGATACTAATAATATTCTAATTAGGCACTTTTCAAAATCAAAAGTCAAAAAACAACACTTTCTTTCTGCCCAGTCACTTAAACGTTAAAATGGATCGGTGCAATCCTAAATTCAATTGGTAAATCACAGCTTAGACGACTATGGTGTGCTGTAACAGCACGTAGAAATGGCATTCTCAACGTTTGATAACGTGTGACCACGACGCCTTTAGGATGCCGCATTGGAGAGCAATTTTACTCCAGTTAGTTTAACAGCAGTCTATCATTGAAGTGAGAGCCATAGTTAAAACGCTAGGTTATGGCAGCCTCCTGTTACACGGTGGTTGTGTGTGTGTGTGGGGGGGGGGGGTAATTGAGTGGTATATACTTCCCTCAATACTGCTTGCTCTCAACCTCCATCACACACGGACGCACACCATGCACACGCATGTAGGAAAAACAATCGCATACGCACGCAAGCACACACACTTCACAAATGTTCAGATGCGACATCAGGTCTACAATGTGTATGTAACATGCCTTACCTTCACCAACTGCTGGTCACACCTCTTGCCTACATGCACCACTTGCCCAGGATATGAATGATATACCAGCAGTACACTAGTACGTACATAGGGATGGAGAGGGGGGTTAAGCAAGCCTCCACCAGAGCTGCTGGTTCTATAAATACACGCCGCACTCTCTTTGCAACCTTTGGCCTGTCCCTAGCCTAAATCCGGCCTCTCTCGTCTACAGTAGGGACCAATTAATCAATAGGCACGATTTATCTAGCTAGAAGAAATTTCGCACTGACCTTTGGGCTGTTCGCAGCGCTGTACGGTTCCGTAGTTGGCAATAAGCCGTTCCAGGTCTTCCCAGATGACGTGTGTGGGCACGTTCCGTACCTGCACTTTTGTGCTTTTCCTGCAAATCAAAGCAGAGCAACGTTGAACGAAATCATAACGCACAGATGTACAGAGAGCTACATGTAGAGTGATAGTAAAGGACATTAACACCGGAGTGATATTATTACGGTTGTTAATAATAATAATAAAAATAATAATAGTATTATTAGTATTATTATTATCACTTTTGTTAGATACACATTGCATTTATGCACGTATGTTTCAGAACAGCTTGGAGTGAGGACAAAAACTGTAAGGCTGAGTATCGAAAACAATAGTACACGTACATCGTAACATTTTTCTGACCTTGCAATGACTTTGTAGACTTCAATTAAATATACGCTATATATACATGCAATAATCGTGTATAGACAGGCACTCAGCCTTATCGATGATTTCAGAATAGCAAATATTTATGTTGGTATATTCAATTCATTTTCACAAGACAACCAGAGTACATCGCATAAAAATGAGTCTGTGAAATCTGGGACATGCACGTGCTACGTTGCATACAGTCCACACTAGTATAGTACTATTAGTAGTACTCAATAGTAGTAGAAGTTGTGATGGTGGTAGTGGTAGGGTTGTTGTTGTTGTTGTTGTTGTTGTTGTTGTTGTTGTTGTTGTTGTTGTTGGTGCTGTACTGGTGCTGGTGGTGGTTCTGCTGGTAGTGGTAGTGCTAGGGTTGTTGTGCTTGATGTTGGCCGTGGTGTTGGAGCTGTTGCAGTGTTCGAAATAAGGGCTATCCGTTTGTCCTCACTTGTCCATTTCCACAGAGGACTCGTAGACCTGTCCAGTAGCTTGTCTGCTGGACAAGCAGCTTTTTAGAGCAACGTTTCAGAGCAAGTTTTCATCATTTTCTACCATCGCTGGTCAGAAAGTCAGACTCAGGACTGACCATGTATTGTTATTATAAAACTTTGAAGCTTCAACTTTGTTAAGACAAGTAATAACGTAAAATAAATAATTGTGCTTCTTTACGTTCTTTCAAGTTTGGTGCCTAATTTGAACTGTTATAATGAACTGCATTAAAATTACAAAGTAAGATATTTGGTCTAAAATTTAATTTGATTAAAAATGTATTACACATTTACTATATTTCTATGTTATTAATCAGGCCAAGCCAAAATATCGTGAAGCTTGTCCGTAGGACAAGCACAATTTTTCCCTTATTTCGAACACTGTGTTGGTGGTGGTGTTGCGGTAGAGGGGAGATAGTAGTACTACTACTAGTATGAGTAGTAGATAAGCCCAAGGTGACCGGATAAGAGAAATTACTGCATTTCAATTGCATTTGCATTTCGATTGCGATTGCATTTCGGCTCAACCGGGTGTTACACGCCTATCCACTCACAAACCTCCCACCCATCGTGCGTAAATCAGTGTCATGGAAAGCTTTATAACTTTCAATTCAACAAAATACGATGCACTCTTGCTTAGAGGGTGGGTTGCAGTTGCAGTCAACCCAGGCCTTAGCTAAACACGCCCATTTCCGACCAAGGGCTCAAACATATCACCTCCTAACGCGCGAGAAACCCATCCTTGGCTAATGCCCGTGATTACCTATTCGTGAAGGGAATTTCTATTACTTGCTCTCTCACAAGGACAGGATAGTCTGCATTTCCGGTACATGTATACACACATGCATGGCTGCGCTACTAAAAAGCCTGCATTAAACCTTATCAGCCGTCATCTCTATAAAATGATTCCCGTCTATAAACGCACTTTTGGCGTTTCTCACGAGTGGCAGTTATTCAGTAAAATCAACTCTATAGACGGATACTGTTTATATAGGACACATGGTATTCTCCTGAATAGCAGTTATATAAGAGAAATTTAATCTATAGAATGGTCATATATACAGTAAACCAAACCATATAGACTGCACACACCTGTACAAACGCACAGCTACACACATCTTTGCCAAGCTGATATGAGAGCATCTTGAAAACAGCGTAATGAAGGGAAATAGGCTTAAATCAATGTATTACATAAACCGAAACATAACCATAACCCTCCTAAACGTTTCATCATGTTGCTCCAGGTACAGAAAATGTAAGGACTGTAAAAATTACATCACTCTTGCATTTACTCATATTGCCCAGTGGTAGCTACTCCTTTCGTTATTACTGACATTAGTACATTCCCATTACACGGACGCGCCCACACACATGGATCTTGCGTAAGAATGGTTATAGTCAAAAACCCAACTTGTGTTAGCAGGTACCACTATCTAACACAGTGCTACCGCTGGCGTTCACCACCTTCGCAAAATATGATAATAAATAACAGTCGCGATTTTACCACACTAAGTTGCCAATACAAATGGCGAATAGTTTAACTACTCACAAAATTACGTTTGAATAATGAAATGGACAAATTTCATTATTGTGTCATAAAATGTTTTCATACACCTATTTTCCCATACCCATCACATGTTTATGCCTTGCTTATTATTATTAGCACATACGATAAAGTGAACTGTGGCTAGTATAGTTTTTCATTGGTGGCTCAAGTCTTGGCTAAAACTTTAAAACATCCAGAGGGAGTCGTGTAATGGGCAACTGTCTATAAAGGGCCACTTTCTCTTAAAGTGGCAGTTATACAATTAAACCACCTGGAACGAACACTCTATAGAGAACACTGGGGTTCCTCTTGAGTCACCCATATGTACAGGTCGGACGTTCACATTAAACTGGGATAGAAATCACATCACATATTAAAATATCATAACGTGCAGTTGAATTGATAAAATGCATTTACGACGTGCATCGCTATGTGTGAACCGATCTAGACGAGCACTAAATCCCTGCAAAGACGACACCTCACAAATAATAATAAGAACCATATAGATAGAACAGAAGCACAAATGACAATAAAGTACATACACTACAGGCAACACATACGCCACGTACACACTACACATCATCGCCAACGGGAACTCGTGCCACACTGAATGATTAAACCGCGATGTGACCAATCCACTATTACGTGATCATTGCTATCAGCGGAATATTATCAGTGAAATAAACTGTCGCTAAATAGAACCTCCGAGCAGAGTTGCCACGACACCTAGCATTAATATTTCCCGTAACTTTAACAGAAAACCATCGCGCGATATTTCTGACTATAAGTATAAATCAATAAAAATTTCGCCGAGATTCTGACAGCAACAGCATCACGTTACCCCCACCCCGGTGGTTGCAGCTACGACACATCGTGTGGAGTCTCAACACACATATATACAGTCAATGCAAACGTAGACTGCAGATACCCGCCGTGTTACACAGTGACGCGCACACATATTCGCCAAGAAACCGAAACTACGCGGATTCGAGCACACACAGCAGCCGCCCTCGCACACATACTAAATGTTTCATGCACGACTCGCCGGCGTGAGCGTAGACAGACAGCGGACCCATATGGCACGTTGCGATTCCGCACAGACGACGCAAACAAGCACACGGCGAGAAGAAGAGCAACTCCTGCTCGAATCTCACCGGAGTACCCTCCTCCCCCCCCCCACTCTATCCCGGTGCGCGCCGGAGAACGCCCAGCTACATACAGCAGCTACGCGATCGTCCTGCTCCTGCTCCTCTTCCTCCTCACTCGCGCGCTCTCCATCCGTCCAGCACGCAGCGCTCATCCATCTTGCACAGCGCGCAGCAAGAATGCAGAGGATCGGCGGAGCCTGCCCGCTCGCACCACGCGCACGCACACGTACACACACTCACTCACTCACTCACATACGGACATGCACACGTACACAGCTCGCGCTCTTGTTACACACGGCGGCAGGACGACACAATGGGCGGCACATGTTATCATCACCTGACAGGCGAGGCTCATACACTCGGCGACGTCTTCTACGGCAACCCAGCACTCTCTCCTTACCCGGACGGCGGCTATTTTGAGACGCACTGCACGCAGGGAATCTGCTCTTCACCCGCTGCCGGCCACCATGTTGTTGCTGGCAGGCAGTGAGCCGACGCGCGCAGCTTCTGCGATCGTTCCACACTGACGCGCGGCACCACCTGGTGGCCGGCACGAGAAACTCAGCACGCAGCGCGTAACAGCAGTGCACGCTCTCTCGCTGGCTTGCGCCTTCGCTCGCAGCGCGGCTCACTCACGCAATAATGGTCAATGAACCTACCTGGTGTGTTTTACGCACTCTTAAATTGTGAAGCACACAATTTCATCGGCATGAATCACAGCTTAGAGCCTGCGGTGCGTGCATGCGGATGCTAGCATATAACACAGGCACACACGCACGCACGCACCTCACCCCACCCCACTTCACTCACTTCCAAACACAAATGTGCACACGCATGCGCATACGCTGTGGGTTAATAATCACAAATAGTGGAAATTCAATTCGGATCCCCGTTTCTTTTCTAAATAGTTCAATTTCTTTTTAAAATTGAAAATTAAATACATGGGTTCGAAAAAAATCGGATACTTTTGACACCTTAGCTACAGGCAGGAGTAGATAATAGGGAAGGAGTGTGACTTCAATAAACAAGGGAAATTCGTCATTTACTAGCCTTAGAATACCTACGATTTACTACGCGTAACTCAACCAACTTGAGCTCAAATCGTACATAGTACATTCGCCTAGCATCGACGCTTCGTGCGAAATCTTTTCCTCGTATACACCCGCAATCCGGAGATACAGACTAAAACGTAAGACACGATTATCCATTCCTTGGCCATCAATCCGAACGTATTGTCCGCCTAAATTGAAACAAAAGGCAGCTACTAACGCACTCTTGCTCACTCGGCGAGGCGGTGTGGCTCACTGGGAGATTGGAGCTGGAGCTGCTGCTGATTGCGGTGGGCGTGCGTGCGTGGGGGGCATACCAGCTGTATGCCGGTATGCCGGTATGTACCTGTATGCCGAGTCAAAGGTTATCTCGCCGAGTGTTGCGTGGATTTCCAATCTCCCAGCGAGCCACACCGCCTCGCCGAGTGAGCAAGAGTGCGTTAGTAGCTGCCTTTTGTTTCAAGTTCGGCGGACAT